CTTGGCCTTCCCTGTGGGCCGGAGGCAAATCCCCTCCCTGTCCTTCTTGCTATCCTGCCACAGGGCCTGAGCTGAGGACGGAGAGCCTGGAGGACAAATCCCCCCGTGAGACCCTGGTGGGAGAGGCCGTTTTGAAGGGCTCCCCGGCGCAGGAAGGCAGCGGGGAGGAAAAGGGCCGGAGATCCTCCCGCAGGAGGGGCTCCAAAGCCAGCCCAGGGTGCTCTGAGGAGGAAAGAGCCAGCCTGTGTGGGGAAGGCAGCCGGAGCTTGAGGCGGAGTTCTGACCTGGTGGTCCCTGAGCAGCCTCCCAGCAGGGAGAAGCGCTTCAGGTGCTTGGAGTGTGGGAAGAGCTTCAGTCACAGCTCCAACCTGCTCCGACACCAGCACATCCACGCTGGGGAATGGCCCTTCACATGTGGGGAATGTGGGAAGAGGTTTCAGACCAGCTCACATCTCTTCCAGCACACGGCAGAGAGGCCCTTCCACTGCACTGACTGCAGGAAGGGCTTCAACTGGAACTCTACAAGTGTGGGGAGTGTGGGAAGAGCTTCAACAAGAGCTCTGGCTTGACCAGACACCAACGCACCCACCAGTAAGGGAAACCCTGCGAGTGCCCCGACTGCAGGAAGAGCTTTGGCCGCTGCTTCCACCCCAAATGAACCCCCTGATGGGGAGGCAACCCCTGGAGTCCAGTGATGGTAAATCCATCCCTTTCGACCAGAAAGGGCCAGTCCCTTTTCACAGGGGCAGGTTCTTCCAGCAGAACCTTTCTGTGTGTGTGTGTGTAGATTCCTGCCTTGGCTGGGGACCCCCCCAAGATCACTCCTGGAGGTTGAGAGCAGAGATCTCCCCCTGAGCGTTGGTCTGGGGGAGTTCCATACAACTCTTTTTAAGAATTCTTGCTTTTGTTCCAGCTTTAGTAGAATTGCTTCAACAACTGCTTTAGTGTAGAGCCCTGTCCTATCTTATCCTGTACTCCTGGTAGTTTTAGTGTCTCTATTTTTCAGTAAATAATTCTGATGAAGATTTTCTGTCTGATCATTTGCATCTCTAAATATTTTATTTTTATCAATAGATCTGTTTTGCCATCATTAAAATCACGGGGGACCAAAGTGATTCAGTCACACTCCTGTAATTCCTCTAAAGTGGTGGCATAATCCAGGGCTGATTGCATCCAGCAGCCCCCAGCACCCCACAGGAAGCTGGGAGCTCAGGGGGCCACCCCCCTTGTGCTCAAAGACCCCCATGGGACCATCAGACTCGCCAGACCGGCCTCCCTTTTCCACCCTTCTCCCTGGTCCTCCCACTTTCCCACTGTCCCCTCAATCCCCAATTTCTGCCGTGAACAGTTTTGGGTTCCAACCCCCACTATTTGCCCCCTCTCCTGTGGGTGCTGAAGGAGAAGATGAGGCTGCACACACAGAGTTCCATTGTGGGCTTTGTCCGCCGATCTTTCCGGCGTCCCCCTTTCATTGGGGTTCCTTTGGAAACAGCGCCTGGGGTTGTGGCCGGCAGGAGTTCCGGAACACACGCAGACAGTCAGTATGATCGGGCGATGTTCAATTTATTATTTAATGAGTTAACTTTTATACAGTTTAGTTTTATTCGGGTACGTGCTTACAACAAGGTGATTGGATAGCTCAGTCTGTGCATGCGGACCACGCCTTCGGTTCCTTGGTTCTGGTGCTCTGTCCACGCGGCCTGACATCATAGGGCCACCCAAAGTCCCTCCTATTGATCCGCCCTTAGGGACTTTGCAAGATCTTGCAGGTGTTCCTTTATCTCCAGTTTTCCCAAAACTTTCAACCATAAACACAGGATTTTCTCATACCTACGACTATAAACATATAGCTAACCAGTATAAACATTGCATAGTTTCACAGAGTTTGTAAGTATAAACACAGAGCTTTCACACAGTTTGCAACCTCCAAAGTCGTGTCAAGCAAGGCCTAGTGCTTCTTAAAAACCATCATACGTTCCCATTGCAATGGTCAGTTACCATGGCAACCGTCATACAGTCCTGTTTCTACAGTCGGTTACCATGGCAACCATCATACATTCCCATTACTATGTTCAGTTACCATGGCAACCATCATACATTCCCACTGCTAGGGTTGGCTACCATAGCAACCATAACAAATTCCCATTGCTACAGTCAGTTACCATGGCAACAATCATATTTCCCACTGCTATGCTCAGTTACCATAGCAACCATCATACATTCTAATTGCCATGGTCGGTTACCATGGCAACCATCACACATTCACATTGCTATGGTCAGTTACCATGGCAACCATCATACTTCCCACTGCTATGGTCAGTTACCATGGCAACCATCATACATTCCCATTGCTATGTTCAGTTACCATGGCAACCACCGTAAATTCTTATTGCTACCATCGGTTATCATAGCGACCGTCATATATTCATGTTGCTATGGTCAGTTACTATGGCAACTGTCATACGTTCTTATTGCTACTGTCAGTTACCATGGCAACCACCATACATTCCTGTTGTTGCAGTCAGTTACCATAGCAACCATCATACATTCACGTTGCTATGGTCAGTTACCATGGCAACCATCACACATTCCCATTGCCATGGTCAGTCACCACGGTGTCCTGGTTAGGGAGCAGAAGGGGCAGTTTAGCTCTTTGTGGGTGTCACCAAGTTATTTATCCTGTACCATCCATGCCATCCCTAGGGCTGTGCTTCCAGCAGGAAAAGACGGGGCTCTGCACCGCAACTGCTCCATCCTGCCCCGCTCTCTGCAGGGCAGGGACTGTCACCATCAGTCCTGCGCTCCCCGTCCTCTGCCCCGCTGCTCCCCCTCGTTTTCCCCGGATTGGGACGATGGACCTTTGGTGCCGAAAGGGGAAACCACAACGGGCCGTGGTGCTGAACCAAAGCTCTGAGCAGGACGGGGCGGTTGGGGGGCAGCCTCAGCCCCCTCAGCCCTCGGGTTGGGAGGAGAAGAGAGGAGCCAGCGCGGGACTGAGCCCAGGGAGCGGCTGCGCCACACGGCCGGGACGACCCAGCTCCCAGGGCTTGGCTTGTCCTTGGTTCTCCTTGTTGTCGGGCTCAGGGGTTGGACACGTTACCCTTGGGAGCTCCCCCACCCCATTGCCTTTGTCCAGGGGTGCCGCGCGGACACGTCGCTCGGAGAGCACCCGGCATCTTGTCTGTGTGCCCGCTGGTGACCCCTTTTTGGGGGTGAAACACCTTCTCTTTCTGGATACTTTTCCTGCTGATATTGCTGTTGTGACTGTGCGTGTCTTATTCCATTGCTCTGTGCTTTCAGTGAATTGGTATCTCCACCCAGAGTCTTTCATTTTTTGTCCCTCCCTCACCAGAAGGGGCGTGGGAAGGGGAGTGACTAATCTGAATTTTAATTTCCTGCTGGTGCTAAAAGCAGCACACCTGCCATGCACCAGCCTCGGGAAAGATGGAATGATGCAGTGGGTGCTGGGACCTGCAAACATTGGGATGCACATTTAGCAAAAGCCACCTGGTCACTCAGCACTGGGGGATGTGCCAGTCGGGCTGGTGCAGCGGCCAGGTGGAGGGGAGCAAGAACACCGACATGATGTAGGTAAAGCAGAACTCCTTTTATTGAAGCTTGCATAACTCCGTTTACTAAAGCTTCTATGGTTACATTTATGCTTGTCTTACTTCCGTACACGCGTT